GGAGTACAAGCCAAAGAGATCACATAAGTCTGCTTTCATCAACATGCAGGCTGGTTGCCACAGCCACCATGCTCCCATCTCTGCTATTCAGCACTGTTCTCTGCTGTCCAGCACTCATACTCAGCTTAGGCATGGCCGTTACCTGAAATGCCAGTAGAATGAATTTGAAGCACTACATTTTAAAAAATCACAAGCCCCTCCTTAGTAAAGAGAGAGAATGATGAAATTATCAAATACTACAATCACCAAATTTATTCAATATGTATATTAAGCAGATAATACAGGAAGCTATACTTTATGAAGAAGATTATAGCATCAGGATTGAAGGAAGGCTTATTAACCTGAGATATGCAGAAAACAGCTTTGCTTGCTGAAATGAAGAGACTTGAGGAAGATCAATGCCTGCCGCCGTCAGTACGGATTACAACTCCATGCAAAGAAAGCCGATGGTGCCCGGCTATCAAAAGATATAGCGTCTGGGTCTTAAAGGCTTGAAGATAAACAAGCGGCCAACTAGCTCAGAAGCATCAAAGCCCACATGGAAGAAGCACAACAGCATTGTGTGACCACGAGCCGTCAACGGATCAGGTATCAAGCATCAAAGAACAAAAAATATCATTGTAAAGGTGGATGAGTGCAGAGTGGAGACTCAAAGCCCATTGGTAGGCAACTGGACACCCCCTTGCTGAAGGGTTGTAGGGAGGAGACGAGCCAATCAGGATGCAGGGCAGCAACGATGAAACATAACTTCCCTCCAGTCCTTAAATGCTCCCCCCGCCCCCTCGCCCCACTATCATGATCCCAATTCTACCTTACAAATCTGGCTAGACCAGAGGATGCACATTGGTACAGATAGCAACTGGAAACACAGGGAATCCAGGACAGATGATCCCTTCAGGACCAGTGGTGAGAGGGGCGAGGCCTGGAGGGTGAAGGGAATGTGGGGTAGATAGGGGGAACCGATTATAAGTGTTGCCTCCTCCCTGCGGGAGGGACAGCAGAGAAGAGGGTCGGGGGAGACGTTAGACAGTGTAAGTTATGAATTGTGAAGGGTTCCTGAGGGAGGAGGGTGGGAGTGGGGAAATGAGCAACTGATATTAAGGGCTAAAGTGGAAGGCAAACGCTTTGAGAATGATGAGGGCAACAAATGTACATATGTGCTTGACCCAATGGATGTATGTATGGATTGTGATAAGAATTGTATGAGCCCCCAATAAAATAATTTTTTAAAAATCCTTAAGACTGGACCTCACAATTGGACCAATAGACAACATCAAGATAAATGGAGAAAAGATTGAAGTGTGGTCAAGGTTTTCATCCTCCTCGGATCCAGTCAGTGCTCATGGAAGCAGCAGTCAGGAAACTAAATGATACACTGCATTGGGTAAAGCTGCTCCACAAGACCTCTTTAGAATGTTGAAAAGCCAGAATTTTACTTTGAGGTCTACTATGTACCTGCCCAAGCCCTGGTATTTTCAGTTGCCTCATATGCATGTGTGGTAGTTACATAATTTCATGTCAACTTGAAGATATAAAAGTGTATGGGTGGTGCCTAGCCTGTCATTCAGGTCACAGTCTGATGGTGACTCCTTGTGCACGTGGCCTTCTCATAAGGAAGGTCCTAAGAACCGCCCCCACCCCCTCTCTCTGCCTTCATCTTCCTGCTGGTTGCTGCCAGAGCCCTGGAGATGCATCTACTGCCATTGGAGCCATGGGACTTGGCACCCACTAGCCTGTGATCTTCATGCTTTCTACATCATTGCAGGTGGCTCCGTGAGTCTGAAGAGGAGCTTAACAGACTAGAATCGAAATTACGGACTTGAGTTGGACTGAGCTGGGATGTTTCCTTGATATATAATTCCTTCTTGATAGAAAACTCTTACACATGCATGAGCATCACTGGGTTTGTTCTCTAGTCACCCCAGTCTAACAAAGCATGTGAAAGTGGGACGCAGGAAGACTAGAGAAGAGTCAGGGCATTTGAATTACGGTACTGGCAAAGATTACTGAACGTACCCAGGTCTGCCAGAGGACAAATAAATCTGTCTTGGAAGAAGTACAGCCAGTATGCCCCTTGGAGATGAGGATGATGAGATGTCGTCTCATGTACTTTGGACATGTTACCAGTAGGGACGCCCCTGGAAAAGGACATCATACTTGGTAAAGTGGAGGGGCAGTGAAAAAGAGGAAGACCCTTGATGAGATGGATTGACAGCAGTGGCTGCAACACTGGGCTCAAACATAAAGAACAATTGTGAGCCTGCCTGCCGCAAGATAGAGTAGTGTTTCATTGTATTCTGCATAGGGTTGCAGGAGTTGGAACCAACTTGACAATCTAACCACACTAACAAGCACAATGAAACAGCTAAAATAGATTGATCATGGGAAAACAATATATTGACATAATCTTATGGCATTTGGAAAATGTAAGTAATTATATAATTCTTGAATGGAAGAAAGTTGGTGATGTTCCCATGTAAAAATTACCTTAAATATAGAAATTCCATGTATTATTCCTTAAAAGTTTATATCTTATAAATGTGATTAAAAATGAGGGAAAGGGGGGTTATTTAAATGTTTGAGCTCTGTCATTTCTAATCTTTCAGTACCAAATTTTATGAGCCTCCACCTGCTTGCGCTTGTCAGAGTCAGCGGTGTCCAATGCCATAGCGCAAGCTGTCACCCCTTATGTGCCACCATGGGCCTCCTCCCATAACAAATGATACAGAACCCTTCGTGATTTGTATTAGTTTTAGTAGTGGAATAATATATGGTATAATTGGAAATTGCTTAAATATAATTTTTCTTAGATTATATTAATACTGGCAGCAAAATTGCTTTGTATTTTTTAACATTGAATTATATTAGTAACTGAGTAGGAGCCTGTAGATTTTTCTCCTCCTTTCCCTTTAATTACTACCTCATTTTCAAAGTGATCTACAGATTCCCAAATATTACCACTAATATTGTACCTAAAACAACAGAAAATTTGGCAAAATGAGCCCTAGAAAAACACTGGCAGCGACAAAACAACAGGCATGCTTGTAATCTGAAGCATCATTATAGTTGGGTCATGAGGACTAAAGCCCACTAGAATGTTCAAAAATAAATTAGCATAGTGTTAACCTTGTAGATATATTGGTACATGTAAGCTGGAATTGTGAAGTGTTTTATGTCATTATAACTAACTACAGAGACATTATTTAAAAATGATAAACCGTTGAAACTACAAAATTTTATAGACAGTCATTTTGTAGTCATTCTTCTGACAATGTCACCTGATACAGTTCATACACACACACACACACACAAATGATTTTGCCCTGTCCAGCTCTGTCACACAGAGGAGCTACATTCTAGTTACCATTGGCTCGAGATATTTTTACCCTTCTCTCTGCTTTACCTCTGTTTCTAATCTTTAATTTGTAGTCATCAACCTTCTCCTACCTATTTAGCTCTTCATTTGGTTCCTGGGACTCCATACTCATTCCACCAAATCTGTTCTCTTCACCAATATCAAATAACCTCTTCTACTGTTTTACTTATGTTGTTGCTGATAAGAACATACACAGTAGAACCAACATCAGGTTAACAGCTCCCACAAACACATTTCCACGACTTCCACGATCATTCTCACCGTCCTTTTCCAGATGGTGGCTCCTCTGTTAACAGAAACTTACTGCCCCTTAAGTTTTTTCAGCTAATCTTTTGAAAATAGTTCGTTTTCTGAAAACATTGTGTTCATCATGTGACTTCCCCCATTCCATACTGTCTTAAGCCCAATACTGTTTAATCCATGTTCCCAACTCCTTTCCCTCATTTTTTAAACTGATTTCCTGCTATTCTCCAATGTCTCGTATACATTTCTACCCCCAGATTTATGTGGAATCTAATCTTTTAATTGTTCCAATCCTACTGGTCCTTTGATACCTTTCCCACGTTTCATCTTCATGTAAGCTTTCTTATCTGTGGTCCTAAATGCCTAAGATACAAGATAAATAAGATAATCTCTACTCCCATAGTTTTACCTTCGTGTAAGAACATTTCTCTGTTCTTTCTCTACTACAGCCACACTAGCCTGCTTTCTGCCTCTCAAGCATGCTAAACTAGTTCCCAACTTGGGAACTTTATACTTGTTGTTCTTTCTGCTTAAGATACAATTCCCCTGCATCTTCACAAGCCTCCATTCTTCTCATCATTCAGGTTTTAACTCATTGTTAAAGGGAGTTGAATAGGAAAAGAGGCCTTTCTTTGACCAGTCTAGCTAAGCTAGCTCTCAGTGACTCTACCATATGCTCCCATTAGCTCATCTTACTCATCCATACCTGAAATACTCATGGGGTTTTTTGGTTTATTTCTTTTTCTCCTGTCCCCTTTCCCCCAGAATGTAAACTCCCAAGGGCAGGTAACTCTGTTTGCTTACTGCAGTACTTTGAGCCATACCTGGCACACAACAGCCCCTAAGTAAACATTGTTTGGCTAATATGTCCCAGATACTGTGCTTGACCTTGGGATGACAAGCCCTTCTGGTTCTGGCACTCAAAATCATGCATGTCCAGGTGAGTAAGCTGCCCGCAATTAAAATAAGCTACTGGTGACTTCTGGAAGGTCAGTTTCCATATGTGCCATATATCTTCCGGTGAGCTCTACGTAGTTTTATGCTAGCTTCGGCCTCCCCATATCTAATCAGAGCAGAGTAAGAGTGGCTTCAAGTATTACAAGTATGCTAAAAAACTGACTTGGGCTACTGGAATCCATGCAAATCCTGTGATGAGACGACTGTAGAAAAGCCATGTCACTCTTACAGTATGGCCTTGTGGCAAGCTGTTCATTCCAAGGACTAAAAGTTCTAATCCTAGTTTTAACCTCTGGCATATCCTGTTGTCCAAGACCACTCAATTTATTTGTGTTTTTTTGGTTTTTTTTTTTGCAGAATGGGTTTGGGGGTTGAATATGAAGGAAAAATACTCACAGCTTAAAATTCTGATTCCCTTTTTTAGATGTGAACGATTAGAAGAACAACTAAATGACCTAACAGAGCTCCACCAGAATGAAATCTTGAACTTGAAGCAGGAATTGGCCAGCATGGAAGAGAAAATTGCATATCAGTCCTATGAACGAGCCCGGGACATCCAGGTTAGCATTAAGAATCAAGCATAAAGCAAAAAACGAGATAATTAGAGGAGAGGGGGAAAAAAGATGGAGAAAATAAGACTATTTTAAGCTTATATCAACAGTAATACAAATGAGGTTCATTTCTCAAGTGGTATGCCTTCTTACATTCTTGGGGAAGGTTTTCTTGGGTTGTCAGTATGTGGAAAGCGGTATGTATTACATCTATTAGTTACCAGACAAGTCACAACTACCTTATCTGTCTTTTCCTTCTATGATAAGGTGACCAGTCCCGTTTTTTGGCATTTTAAAAAAGTCCTGATTTTGGAAAGAATGCACGACAAGCTAGGGAACGGTCTATTTGTTCCATATAGACCAAATTTTTAATCAAGAACACCCCCCACACCTCCGGTCAATGGTGTCCTGCTTTAAATCTGGTCACCTTATTATGAGGAAGGGACTTTGGTAGCTGACAAATCCAAACTTTCTATAGACACATTGCCAGACAGCTATTGAACATAGCCACAAAGTAATAATAATAACTATTGGATTCAGCTGTTTTTGTTGTTGTGGAGCACTCTAAGGGAAAGTTCTTGGTGGTTTCATATGAAATACACTCGCCTGAGAGAAAGAAAGTAGTTCTGGAAACGTGTCTTACAGCAAAAATCAAAGGAATGTCCAGATCAGTGGTTCTCAACCTTCCTAAGCTGCAACCCTTTAATACCAGTTCCTTATGTTGTGGTGACCGCCAACCATAAAATTATTTTTGCTGCTACTTAATAACTGTAATTTTGCTACTGTTATGAATTGTCATATAAGTATCTGATATGCAGCATGTATTTTCATTGTTACAAATTGAACATAATTAAAGCATAGTGATTAATCCCCAAAACACTATGTAATTATGTATTGTGAAATGTTTATTTCTAATGACAAATAAATGACATTTTGTCCTGAAGCATGGT